CCATCTCTTGTCCTCAGCTTGCTTACATTTAGGGAGAAAGGACACACATGTGCCTGTACACACAATTAACTATAATGCAATATAGTTATGTGCAAAGATCACGGATCTGATGCAAGCAGAGAATTAATAAGAAGAGTGTATATAACCCTAGGGAGTTTAGAAATGACCCAATGAAAGTGTCATTCGAGATACTTGGAGCCATTGAAACTCAAAGCAGAGGAATGACTCCATTCGAATCACTGCTGAGAGGAAATAAAGCTGGCAACGTTCGGGATGGAATGAGAAGGTAACAGACAAGTGGCAGGTAAATCAGTTAAGAACTATTTAAAACAGTCTCCTAACAGCTCTCCCTGTATTTATTCCCTCCTTGCTCCAGCAATCCTTAACTAGCAGTGCCACTAGCTATCTTCCTAAAACAGCTTGACTATTGACATTTACCTCCTCAGAAGCCATCACTGGCTCCAAATGGCCCAGGAATTACAATTTATATTACTCCTGTTAACACCAGATTGTTTATGTCTGGGTATAAAACTCTGCCTGCAAAGGACGTGATTGGATTGGATCCTCTACTACAGCATCACAATAGTATTGTGATGATTGTCTTTTACTAGTAGTTAATTCATTGCCCTCTCACAGCTTATATTTCTAAAATCAGCCCTCACAGGAGTTGGGAAGGTACTTTCTTGTCTTACTATCTGTACAACATAGCATAGACTATACTCTGGATCATATAAGACCTAGGTTCAAATCCTAACTCTACCATTCACTAGCCGTGAGACTGAATATATTTCTAAATTCCTTTGGACCTCCATTTCCTTATCTGTAAAATGGGGGTGGATGAAGATAATTTTGACTTCATATGGTTGTTGTCGATTTTAAATGAGACAATCATGTAAAGCCCTTAGTGCAGGACCAGGCCCAGAGAAAGCACTCAAGAGCTACTATCTCTTTTCACAAAGCCAGTATGCACTTTTTATAAACATATATGGAAACAACCTCGAGTGGTAAAACAGTTATTAGGGAGCCAGAGACACTTCCAACTGATTTAGGTTAATACTGATGTTGTTTCCCTTGTAAAGGCAACAAAAACTTCCATTTTTCATTCCTCAGTCATCTCCAGCTAATTCTGAAATTGCATGCAACCCATGAGTCAAATAAAAAAATAAATTATGCTGCATCAAACATTTTATATTTATATGTTTTAACTAAAGATTGAACTGTATAAGCCAGAACTTTTATTAAGTTCTTTTATAAGCATATCCAGGAGGAAGTTCCTGTACTACCTGGGACAATTTCTATACTGACAGTCCCTGTAGTTTAATTAGATCCTCTTCTCAAGTGAAACACAGGGAGTCAAAATGATGATTCCAACAGAATAGACAATCACAAGTTCTCTGCAAATCCAACCCATCTACTTAAAATGGGGAAGAGGGAATACAAAACTTGAAGACATATACTGTGTGTGTTACGTGCAATAATCAACTCAGTATCAGAACGTATTCCCACCTCTCTCCCTCACACACTTTTCAATGTAATCCTTACAGATTATGCACTTCCCAGAATCCTTAGGGATATACACGTGTGTGCGCACACGTGTGTGTGCATGCACGCCTGCAGGTGCGTTACTCATGAACATAAACAGAAGAGGAAACACTCCAAAATCACAACTACAATAAGAAGTTCTCCTTGGTATCATTCAAGGTCACTATGGAAGGGGCCCCTAGCAACCTTAAGAACGTTTCTAACCAACTGCCTCAAAGACAATTTCGGCAAAGATAAGATTAGTAATAAAATGCCAATCATTACATATCCTGTCTTTATGATGAAAGGCACAATGAAAATGGTTCGATTTTTAAATTTCTTAATAGTATTTTTTACTAGTGAACTAGCATTACCTAGCTAACGCTTTAGTCCCAAATCCCTTCTCCCTTAGAACTTCCTGGGCACTCTTTTCTCCTCATCTGTACCACTCATATGGTACTTTCCACACATCATGTATTCCAATTATGTGTATGCACGGCATCTCTCCCTACTACCTGAAAATGTCCTGGTGGCAGAGGCCCCTCCTGCCCTTCTTGCTGCCTCCACAATGCCAAGCACAAAATGTTGTACATAGTAGATGCTCCAAAAAGATATGTCCATTGAAAGCTGAACAAAAAAACTATCCTTTGTGTTAAGAATCCCTTGTAATCATGGCATCTGGGCTACCCATTATATGATAAGGACAGGGGTCATTGTAGGACCTTAGCTGGAAACCCTGTCAGCATGATGTACTCCCCCAACACCCTTGAGAACACATCAAATCATCTTAATTATGATCTAAAAAGACTGAAAGTCCTTAAGAAAATGGAGTATTCTTAAAGTCTGTTCAAACCTCTAGAATGCAAGTGCAAGGCCCCTGAGAATAAAACCTTAAACTTGGGCTAAGCCTGGGGCTAGGCACCCAGACATTGTGACCTTTGCCTGGAAAACAATCCTGGACATATTGTACTTAAAAAATACATATCCCTCCCCCCTACACCAATGCGAGTGGCAATTCATTCAGACACAAGCTGAATACAAGTCACTATATTGACTATCCTCCCCAAAATGACCAAAATTATATGAGTGTAGCCCAGGGAAGACAAGGCTAACATATGCATCTGGAGAGGCCAGGCCGATGGTAAAGATTACCCGTTTCTATACTGGCCGTCTAAAGGTATTTATTTGGGTCTGTCTGTGTTGTGACAGTGTCCTAGACACAAATGAATGCCTCTAACACTCCACATTTTTGAGCCATTCAGTCATGCATTTTTGTTATTGTTGAAAGTGGTGCGAAATTGCACTGCATGAGCTAAAGTCCTTGGTGGTCTTCCAAGGATTCCAGCTAAAAAGGCACTTCCTTTGTTCTTCAGGAGAATGCAGTCCAGTAGGTCATTCAAAAGGGGAAATAAAAGCAGCAGCCCTGGGAGGGAGATGAAGGACAAGACAAAAAGAATAAAATGTTTTGGGTGTGAGCACATTAGCTTCCATTTCCTGCTGCTGGTCACTAATGACTCTCCTATCTTTGGGGGGTAAATGTCCAAATAGACATTCATGCAAAAAATATTCCTCAGGTGTTTTCTGGGGATCATGATGATCAAAAGGAACACCTAGCACATCCCTTGAGCACCCATCAAACTTCTTTTTCCCTGGGATGCTGGTTGGGGAAGATGTCCTGCCTTGGCAAGACTGCAGGAGCAAAGTTGGAAAAAGTGGGGAGGGCATTTCACAACCCACTCCCTGAAAGCCTCTAGTCCATCTCAAAGGCACATATTGTTTGCATGAGCAGAAGATGAAAACTTGTCACATTCCCATTAAGTGCCTCACTGCATCTATCCCTTCAAAATGTGAGAATGACAAGTGTAACCTTCACGCCAATCATCTCTGCTGGGCCCAAGCCCAAACCGTGTAGGGCACAAAGACCCCAGGTCTGACCTGCGGAGCCCCAAGCTTCAGTGGCTGCTAGTTCACGTTTTCTGACGGGTGCGGGGGAGGGAAAGGAAAGAGGGCTTTTCAGACCTCTCTACAACCAATAAAATCTTGCCTCTGTGAGGACATACTTGAGCTCCTTAAAAGACAGGCAGCTCAAGGACAAATAGTCTCTAACCAGTAGTGTGTTATTTGATAACTGCCAAGGTGCAGTGGGCTCCTAGGCTGCTCCAACAATTTCTTGGGTTCTATTTCTAGACAGATGCCGGTTACAATCAGAAAGTGCCGAATAACTTCTCTCAATTACCTTTGTAATTTATATTAATTGATGACTGCACTTAATCTCTAAGATTATTAATAGCCTTTCTAAAAAATGACCCCAAGTTTTCCTAAGCCTTTGGAATTGTCTGGTTGGAATTACAGTATTTCTTTTGCTGGCTGCAGGCCCCCTGCCTGCCCCACCCTGGTGACCATCTCCAAGAGGCAAAGGCGTGCTCTGCTCACTTCCATGAAAGGTTCGGAATAGAGGCTTGGCCCCAGGGCTCGAATCGCTCTCTTCTCCGTTAGGTTATGCTGGCCACCAGCCAGCTAGATTCGTGGTTCTTTCTGAACCCTCCGGGCGAAGAGGCTACCTGCGCCGCCGCTGGCCCCATCGCGGCCCGCGGGGCTGCGCGCAACAGTTGGACGAATGAGAGAGCGCAACCTGGAGGGGACCTGTCGGGCCAAAGCCGCTGACCGGCATTCCAAGAAGGGCTTTCACAAATACCCCCGCGCACCCACCAGCGCCGAAATCCAGTGAAATTTTCCACAGGCTAAAGCGTCCCATTTGCATAACCATCTCCGAGCTCAGATTCAGGTTTCCTGTAATCAGTCCTTTCAAAGGTTTGTAATTCAATGTGCAATTAACCCTTAAAATTAGGTGAGAAAAAAGAATGAGGGAAAATACCCTTTTCATCCAACACCTTCTGGAAAACAGGAGAGTTCCCAAAAGTCAGGGTTTGTAGGGGTGGAGAGTCGTTTGGTTTTTAAAGGCGACTTCTACCGCCGCTGTAGTTACTAAAACTCCTAATCCTTGTCAGCGGTGGGAGAGAGGCGAGAGAGGGTTTTTTAAAGAACATCAACGAAACATCAAGTTCCACGTCTTGCGTCCCCTCGGAATCCGGCAACCTTTAGAAGGTTCTCCCACCCGGCCTCCCGTCACCCACACAACAAAGCGGGGAGCCCAGTAAGAAGTTCAACCCGGAAAAGGCGAGGGAGCCGGTGACACGCACTCTGCAGGCCAGAGTCCTCTGGAGCTTCCTGGGACTGGGAAGACTGCGGGGGAGGGGAGGAGGCAGAGCGCGGGAGTGGCACCGGGCAATTTGGTGGCGCCCGGCCACTCGTAACGCCCGGAGGGCCGCCGCGTCCGCGGGAACTTTCTACGCAGGGGCTCGCTCACTCTCCCTCTGGGCTACCTGCGTCCGGCACGGGGACGGCGGGCAAGGGGTCTTCTGCGGCCCCTCCTCCGTGGTTCCCATCTCTGTGCTCGCCCCCTGGGGGCTCCCACCTACCGTTGATCTCATGCGTGGGGGCATCGTTCTTGTTGAAGCCTTTGGACACGTAGAGACGTCGCACTTCCGAGCAACTTTTCGACTTGAGCTCTGCAGCCAGCAGCGCGGCCCTTAGTACGGCCAGGGTGCAGAGAAGCGCCGGCAAGCCGAGCCGTGCCATGGTGCGAGACCCGCAGACGCACTCCCACCTTCGGGACTGGACGGAAAGTGGTGGGCGTGGAGTCGGGGGCTCACGAGTAGAGCGAGAGGGTGAGGGAGTTGTAGTAGGAGTTGGAGGAGGAGAGCGTCAGGAGGAGGATTCGCGGGGTGAAGGAAAGTGGAGCTGGGCCTCGCGCGTCAGGCAACGGTCCCCGGTGCCAGGCGCCCGGCCAGGGTAGGAGAAGGAGGAGGAAGGTGCACGGCCCTAGGGAACGGAGGCGCGGACCGGTGACCTCGGGGCTCCGCGAGGACAGCAAACCGGTCGAGCTGCCCGGCCGGCGGGACAGGGGCGCGAGGAAAGAGGATAAGGTGGTGGCAGGCGCTGCGGGGCGTGTGGGCGGCAGCTGCTGGAGCTC